CAGCCCTCTTGGGGACCCAGTGGTCCCCTGGGATGGACTCCTGCCTGACCCCCAACTGCAGGGTCCCTTCCCAGCCCATCTCCCAGGCCTCCTATGCAGCCCCTCCGCCTCCACCTGCCATGACAACAGTTGCGCGTGTGGGTTTCCAGGCAACAAGGGGGCATTTTGCCACTGTTCTTGCTCTTTTGCCACTCCCCTGTCTGGCAGAGCCACGCTACTCTCCGAGACCTGTAAGGGAAGGGATAGGGGCTTCTGTTCAGTGAGGATGGAGGGGCGCTAAACTCAGAGATGAGGAGGTGTCCACACCACCGGAGAGGAAATGAAAATGCACTCCTACCGCCTGAAAGGGTGAAGGTGGAGGAACTAATGCTGGGCCCAACCACTGTAATGGCCCAACAGCTACCCTTGTCATCTGCACCCCGACCTGGAGGTGGGGCCAAATGCAGCCCCTCTGAGAACAGAGCCCCAGGCCTGTCACTCTGCCCCCTGTCCTCTAGGACCTACACCTGGACCAGATGAACTTCCAAATATGCACCTGTCCCCCAACACACAGAGATACTACCCCTGCCTGGGCTACAGTTCCACACTAGGTGGACAAGTGTGGGGTCTGTGGCCCTTCCCAACTGTTAGCCAGCTCACCACAGGCTGCAACACTGAGTCTAGAACCCTGCAAGGGGCCCTGCAAGGGGTGGGTTCGAAGCTGACCCTGGCTGTGGAGAACTTGTATGTGCCCTGCACCCTGGGGGTCCTGTGAATTTCTACTTTGGCATGGCAGGGGGCAGGTTAGCTGAAGCAGGGCCTCTGAGCTAGGGCAAAACTGTCAGGGGTGGGGGGATGATGGGGCAAGAGGGACAGGCAGGCAAAGCCCATGGCGGAGGGGCTCAGATTTTGGAAAGAAACCCAGAGAAGCAGCAAGGAGAGAGTGACAGGGAAAAAAAAAAAAAAAGGGGGCCACGAGGAGAGGAAACAGCCAGGATTGAAACTGGAGCCAGAGCTGGAGCCAGGCAGGAGCTGGGCAGGTAAGACAGACGGACGAGAATAGGGAGTGGTGGCCCACTGGCACCTGAGCATGGCCCATGGCTAACCCAGAAGGAGAATTTTTCAAAAGAAGCTGATAATCTGGATTTTTTGTGATGTGACTGACATAGAACATTGTATGAGTTTCAAGTGTACAACATAATGATTTGATACTTGTGAAATGATCACCACAGTAAGTCTAACATCCATCAGCATGCATAAGTACATTTTTTTCCCTTGTGCTGAGAATGGATTTTTATGTGAAATCACCTTTTTTTTTTTTAAGTTAACAACATATGAAATACTTGGAAAGCACTTGGGGGAAAGAACACTCCCGGCCCACAGGCCAGCAGGGTAAGTGCTCAGGAATGTGGGAAGGTGAGTGCAGGGAAGAAGCGGCAGGAGGCAGGGAGGAGGTTGGAGGGGCAGGGTGGATGGAGGTGAGGGAGAGTGACACAGAGGAGGAGACAGTATGCTGAGCCCAGAGTGGAAACTGAGGCAGGTTTCACAGCAGATGGGTTTTGAGAAAGAAAGACTGATGCATAAGTTTCAAGGTGTAGCTGGTGAGGTGGGGGCAGGAGGCACTGGGCTGGGGGAGCGGGAGAGGTCATGGGGGAATGGGCTTGATAGAGATAGGAGGTCCCAGTGACACCTTATGACAGATGCCTGGCCAGAGGCAGGGAAGGGTGAAAGATGTTACAGGATCATGGGATCATGGAGAGGGCTGCCATCCCAGCAGGCAAGGCAGGTGAGCACAGGGGTGGGGAGGAGGGGAGACAGGAATGAGGAAGGTGGCAGGAGAATGGACACTGGAAGAAGCCCAGAGGGTCCCATCAGCCTCCCGCACCTCCCAGAGATGTGTCAGTGGCCCTCTGATTCCTGCTGTCTTAATTCTATTGTCTTCTCTGACAGCAAGGAGACCCCTAGAAGTCCTCTGACTTGGGGAACATTCTTCCAACTGCCTTTGGGTGCATTAAGCGTGAGCACAGGAGTCCAGCAGTGCTGGATATCCAGTCGGCACATGCCTGTGCCCCTCTCTTGGGCTGGTGTGGGGGGGTGTTGACTGTGTGCAGGTCTGTTACTGCATTAGCAGCATGTGGGGCTGCATCCCCAGGGCTCCAAGGCCACTTCTGTACCTCTCCCTTTGTGTCTCTTTGTGCATGGGAGTTCATGAGGCAATCATGTTTGAGGGCCTCTCTGACCAGCGGGATTCTCTGTGTGGTGCTGCCTTTGTCTCTCCCTCTGAGTCTCTGTATGCGAAGGACTGTGTGTGTCTCTTCTGGTGTACCCTCTCCTTCTCCCTGCCCTGCTCCTTGCAGCCTCAGGCCCGTTCAGAGGGTTAAGATGGGACTGTGGAGTCGTATGTGTACACGACTCCAGGTCTTTCTCCTGGCCTCTGGCTGACTCTGGGTACTGCAGCCCTGTTTGTAACTGGGTCTCTGGCTGCCAGTGAATAAGTGTGGTGTGTGTGTGTGTGTGTGTGTGTGTGTGTGTGTGCTCGCGTACCTCTGCCTACACATGCCTCTGTGTCTTTCTCACACTCTCCCACCCTCTGCCTATGGCTGATTCGGGTCCCTTACGGTTAGACACTGTGCCTCTAATCCCCCCTGCACCTCTGGTGGTGAAGTGAAGTGTTCTCTGGCTCCTTCTTGCCAGCACTGTGGGTCGGTAGGCACCCTCCCTGAGTCTGTGGCTCCCTGTGTCTCTGCCTAGCTCTCTTGCTCTCCCTCCTCTGTGTGTGTGGATGGTGTGTGTTCCCAACTGACTCTCGCTTTCTTTCAGAAATTAAGTGAGTAACTCTGTGTATGTCTGGCTCCGTGGTGATGCACCCTAATTGTGTGAGTGTGTCTGTTTGGGAGTCAGGTCCCCTCTCTCACTCTAGCTGTTGCCTCTATCTCTCTGGCTCCCACCCTTCCCTGCCTTGTTTGAGGGTCTGTCTCAAAGCCTTCCTGCTGCTTCATTCTCTGCCTCTCCTTTTTGAGTGCGCTGCGGACAATCAGGTGGCCAGGATTAGAGGAGACCCAGTGAAGAGAAGAAGGAAGGCGGGAAGGGGAAGAGAAGGGTGCAAGATGTAAGTTAGAAGGAGCTAGGAGACACAAGATGCCACAGGAAGAGGGAGGGGCCCATCCTGGCCATGGTCCTGGGAAGCGGGGAGTTTTTAGGGGGGGAGAGGATGCTGCCGGCTGCCGGGACCAGGAGGGAAGCGACTCCGGCTACTCCCAGCTGCCGCTGGAGCCTGAGTTCCTGTCTGGCGGCTGCGCGGCTGGGACTAGGGATGTGAGGCGCATAGCAATGGGGCGCTGCGGAGGCTCGACTGCAGCTCCCAGCTGGGGAGGGAGGGTGGGGAGGGGGCTGTGGGGCAGCCCTGAGGCTCCCTTGCCCCTCCCCCTTCCCAGCTGGGCTCTCCCCAGGGGATTTCCCCACCCTGAGAAAGTGTCTCCCGGAGAACCGGGCCTGAGGCTGCGGGGAGCAGGGGAGGGAGAAGAGGAGGGTACACCAGAAGAGCAGCAGAGGTGGGGGTGGGGAGAGAAGGGTCAAGATGGGAGTCGCGGAAAGAAAGGGATGGAGGTGTGTGTGGGGGGAAAAGGGGGCTCAGGGGCAAGGCTACTCAGACCCTCAAGAGAGACTGGCTGCGCTCTTGGCAGGAGAGAAGGGAGGAGCCCATGGAAGGGGGTCTTGCAAACTTGGGTGGAACCCTGGACAGAGCCTGGGCCTCGTGGTCCTGGACTGAGGAGTTGGAAGGAGGCAAGCGTCAGGAAGGAGAGGTTTCAGAGATGCCCCAGGACTGGGAGGTCTGGGGTTGGGGGATCCCACAGGGCAAGGAGACAGGGAGACAGGGAAAGGGGCTCTGAGTGAGGAAAGGTCATAAAAGGCGATCCCAGACACAGATGAATATGTGAGAGAGACAAGCTGGTGGTAGTGCTAGGGAGAAACACCCCTCCCCAACATACACACTCACACACACACGGATCCTGAGCAAAGAGGGGAAAAGACAAGGGTTCCTGAGACTAACACGGTAGGGAGTGGGGCTAGAGGAGAGAGGGGCTAAAGTCAGGGTCTCCTGGAGAGGTCAAGGGAGCGGATATCTGGTGGGAGAGAGTCAGAGACGGAGGTGAGAGGACCCTGAAGGGAAGGTGAGGTGCAGTTAGAAGGTCTTAGAAGAGCAGGTGTGAGAGTGGAAAGCCAGCAAATGGGGGGGGGAGGGGAGGTCCCCAAGAGGAGAGGGCTAAGGATGGTGGGAAGGAGGTAGTCGTTCCGTGGAGACACATGCGGGAGGATAGAAGGCCCCAAAGCAGAATCGGGTCAAGAAAGGGGGTCTGGGGAAAAGGGAAAGACAGGGGTTTCCTTGCCCACCGGTAGGGGTTGGGGTACCCCAGAGAGAGAGGGGCTGAAGATTGGGGAGGGGGTAGTCTCGCTCCCCAGTCACCCCCTCCGTCTTTCCCATTCTCACATCCCAAACTCCCCGGTTCTCCCTGGTTACCAAGGCAACCGCTCCTGCCAGGCGCGGTCACCAAGGAAACCCCGTGCCCGCCTCTCCCCCTTCCCCATCACTGGCGTGCCCCCCCACCCCAAGCAGCAGCCGTGTGGAGGTGGGAGGGGCAATGGTGGGGGAAGAACTCGGGCTTCCACCCCAGGAAGGGGGGCCCACATCTACAATCGGCTAGCCCCCCCACCCTAAGCCTACATCTTCAACCCCGCAGCTGGATACGCGCAGCTCTCACCGGACGTACACCACCCCCCCCTCCGCCCGTCCCGGAGGCAGCGGCGACCCCCCAAGACAACTCGCATGGCCCAGAGAACCCCCACCCGACTACCTCCCCCACCCGCTTCGGCTCTCCATCAGGCCCCGCCCACTGTCCTCTGCCGCCGACCCCCCCCCTCCGGGAGGAGGCCTTAGACCACAGTCCCCTAATTAAGAATGCCCCCCACCCACCCTCCGCGGTTCCTCCCGCCCCACCCGGCGCCCCTTGGCGGCTACTCACAGCGAGGAAAGGGGCTCCTTCCTGGGGGCAGCATGCCCGGCCCGCGGGGGGAGGACCCCCCCCCAATGAGGCACAGGGATTTGGGGTGCGAGGCCCGCTGCGGGGAGGCGCGGGGGGCGGGGCTGCGGCCAGGCCTGGGTCTCTTGAGTTCTCCCCCCTCCCCGGCTCCTGGATGGGGAGGGGGCTTCCGCAGCGCGGTGGTGGGGTTCGGGGGGCCGCTCTGTCTCCTCGCTCGCCCGCCCGCCTGCCGCCCGGCCCGGCGCCCTCGCCCGCCGGCCCGCCGCCCGCCTTCCTTCTTGCCTTCCTTTCTTTCCTTCTTTCTTCCCTTGCTTCCTTCCTTCCAGCCTTCCTTCCTTCCTTCCTTCCTCCCTCCTCGGGCCGCCGGCGCCGCTCTCCCCCCACCCCACCCCCCCAGGCCCCGGCCCCGGCCCCGGCCCCCGCCTCGGACGGTGCGGCAGCGACCGCGAGCAGCCGAGAGCGGCGGAGACGGGAGCGGAATACTGATGATGGAGGGGGAGCGGGAGGGAGGGGAGGGAGGGCGCCGGGAGGGGGGGGAGAGGCTGCCCGGGAAGGAAAGGAGGGGGGAGAGGAGAGAGGGGAGGGAAGACAGAGAGGAGGAGAGGAAGAGGGGGAAGAGAGGGGAGGGAGAAAAAAAAAGCAGAGGATGGTTAAGGGAGAGCAAGGGGGAGGGACGAGAGGGTGGAGGGGGAAGGGTGGAGGGGTAGAAGAAACAGAGGAAGGAAAAGGGAAGGGAGAAGAGGGAAGGAGGAGAGAAGGGAGGAAATCGGTATGGAGAGGGAAAGAGGGGAGGTAAGGGGGAAGGAAGGAGGAGGAGGAGGAGAAGGGGGAGGAGAGGGGAAGCAGGGGAGGGGAGGGAAGAGACTGAGAGTGGGGAGAGGGAGGGACTATGTCCGAGACTGAGGGGAAACAAGCGGAGTAACTCTTAGTACACCTTTGGTAAATATTTGCAGGATGAATGTGGGAGGGACGGGAGAGGGAGATGATACAGGGCAAGAGGGGACAGGTAGAGGAGGAAGGAAGTGGCTAGGGGACAGGGACAGGAGTGGGGCAGAGGGGGAAGGAAGCAGGGCCCCCTTGGGGGGTCGCAGTGGGGAGAGGGAGTGGGGGCTAGGCTATTAGAGTTAAGAGCCAGGGGGAAGCTGGCAAGACGGGGAAGAGGGCAGGGAGGAAAGGAGCTGGACAGAGGATGGAGGAAGACCCATGGTGGGTTGGGGAGAGGACAGACCCAGGGCCAGGGAGATTGGAGCCTTGGAGCTGGAGCTCTGATGGCACTAGGTAGTGGGGGCCTGAGGAGGGGCACCAGGGCATTCCTTGAACCCCACTATGTGCTTCCTTCATACCCCCACCACCACCCTCAGCACCAAGAAGGAGCCTCACATTCATTTTCTACACAAGGACACTGGGCTCCCAGAAGCCCCAGGGCAGGATCCAAATCCAGAGTCCTGGGTTCTGGAAAGGGATTGTGGAAGATCTCCTCCCTGGCCCAGACCTGTCAGGTGGAGGCTCCTGGAAGCAGGCAGAGAACAGAGCCCCGCAGCCTCCCCCCTCATCCTCTCACCTCCCCTAGGTGTTGGCAGCGGGTGCTGGGGATACATTTAGAGCTGTGAAGTGACACTGTACCTTGGGTTCAGGGAGGCAGGGAGGGAGGATGCAGAGGCCCAGAGGTCACCTTGCTTTCTCTCTGCCCCATCAACTCTCCCTAAAAGACTCGAAATTAGGGGGTAACGAAACCCAGAAGGGGGCTGAAAGGAGGCAGCCCTATCCAGGACACTGAGTTTCCTTCTGGGTTCTGAAATTAGGGCAGAAATCTCATCTCTTCCCTGTCCCCCCTCCCAGCCCCCAAGAAGTCCAGCTACTACCATGGGACTCAGAGGGGAGAGAAAAGGTAATAGTTCCTTTCCTCAGTCCCACAGTCCCAGAGAGGTCACCTCTTTGTCCTTTTCCTTCTGAGAGCCCCAGGGAGGGGAAAGTTGGGCCCCTCTCATCCTCCTAGGCAGAAATGGGGCACAGTGGAGTCGGGTCTGGGGAAGGAAGGTGCCCCAGACAGACAGGTGTAATGAGCCAGAGTGGGAGACAGGCCTGGAGTTCATGAGTGACAAGTGAGGTCACATCTGGGTGCAGAAGAAGCAGCTGTGAACAGATGTGAGAGCTACAGAGAGGGAAGCTGTGAGAGGAGAGACAGGCAAGGGCCACAGAGCAACAGGTCGGTTGTGGAGCTTTGGGTTCACACCTGGCTGCTGCTCAAATCTGGTTTAGGAGACTGGAGGAGTGAATGTGTGTGCACTCCAAGGTGCAGCACAGTGCAGGCCCAAGGGCAGCAGTAACATTGGTGAAACTGTAGCGATGATGGCAGCCAGCGTGTTCTGCAGGCGAACTACTACTACCGTCAGATGCTGTGCTGAGCACTTTGTGAACACCTTGCTGTCTCCTTACAACTACCCTGAACTTGACTCTGAGGGATGTGGGCACTGGTGGACACAGGCAGGGGTCTGTGAAGCCCCTGCTGTGCCAGCATTTACTCTTTAATACAGGAGGGTCCCTGGGAGAGGTCAGCGCAGGGAAATAGGGAAGAATTTCAATATCTTACCCACCCATGAGCTTCCGGTCCACAGTCTGAAACTCTGCCTGTAGGGAGTGACTCCTCTGTGTGATTGTCATTGAGTAACAGTGTTCACTGAGGACTGGCTCAGTACCTGATGCCAGCCAGGGCCCTGAGAGTCAGGGACAGACAGAGCTGGAGAACAGGACAGAGCACAGTCCCTGCTCTCAGGGGGTTCACCTTTCAGGAGAAAGGTTACCCAAAGACCTATTTCAGATAAATAAAAGGGGGTACTAGGAAGGAGAGGGGTGGTCAGGTATCTGGAGGACAGACTTGAGGTCAAGGGAGGCCTCCCAGAGGAAGGCTTTTCAGCCAAGATCTACATGACAAGAAAGAGGCAGCTGGGAGGGTGACATAGAAGGGCCCCCAGGCAGAAGGCATATGAGGAGCTGAGGCCCTGGAAGGACAGCAAGCTTGGGCTGTTTGAGAGAGGAAGCCAGTGTGGCAGAAGATGGTGAGAGACAGGCAGAGTGGAAGAAGAGAATGACAGAGTGCTAGGTTTGGCTCAAATACAATACTAAAGCCTTGATGACACCTCTGTACCCTAAACTTTACCTTAAAACTCAACTCAGATGGCAATCCTGAGTAACCTAAACCCTGACCATTTTTCTTTCACGTTTTCAACATTGACTGGGGCCTATGATGCACCAGAAACCATATTACCTAAAGAAGGGGTGGCAGTGACCCTGGGAACCCCTGTAACAGTGGAGATGCAAAGGTATGTTTACTATTTCAAAAAACCAAATGTAAATTGTGTATTTCTTATGGGATGGCATGTCAGAGGTTAACCCAAACATCAAATTTCTCTGCTTCAGGCTGTTAAGAAAAAAACTTTTTTTTAAAGGAAAATTTTCTAATCCACTCAGTATTAACTGCTTGTCTCACCCTGATCAGAAGTTTTTTTTTTAAGATTAATTAATTAATTTATTTATGATAGCAGAGAGAGAGAGAGAGAGAGAGAGAGAGAGAGAGAGGCAGAGACACAGGAGGAGGGAGAAGCAGGCTCCATGCCAGGAGTCTGACGTGGGACTTGATCCCAGGACTTCAGATTCGCACCCTGGGCCAAAGGCAGGCGCTAAACCGCTGAGCCACCCAGGGATCCCCCTGATCAGAAGTTCTGATGGGTACTTAGGTATACCTTTGATAAATAAAGTATGGGCAAAGGAAATTTTCCCCCCATGTAGTTTGGTTTGCTCAGAAAACTCTTTCAAGGGACGCCTGGGTGGCTCAGTGGTTGAGCATCTGCCTTCACGCTTAGGGAGTGATCCTGGGATCCCGGGATCGAGTTCCTCATCAGGCTCATTGTGGGGAGCCTGCTTCTCCCTCTGCTTGTGTCTCTACCTCTCCCTCTCTCTCTTTCTTTCTGTGTCTCTCATGAATAAATAAAAAAAGAAAACTCTTTCAAAGTGAGGTCCATGGGGGTAGAGGTATCACAGACACACCCCTCCCCGGCCAGTGTTCATGTATTTTGTCCAATATATCACACTGGGAAAATGCCATGGGCCTTAACCTCTGCTGGTAAATTATCATGATCGTCACCAAAGTTGGAGAGTTCTAGGAAGCGGGAAGCATCACAGTGGGTGCTAAGCGAGGCCCTAGGTCTTCCCCCAATTCTGTCCTTCGCTCTATCTCCAAATCCAACCCTAACCCTAATTCTTAGGAGAGATGATGACCACTGAAAAATGAACACAGGGTTAGATGCTCAACTTTTACAGCAGAGAAACATCCTGTTACCTGCTTGTCAGGTTTCCAAAACATCTGTGTTTGTCCTGAGACAGAGTAGCTGGCCATATTTCCCAAAGATGGCTATAACAATATCCCCCATGCCACATGTTCTGACACTCCTCTGTGTGCCATCCCTTGGACTGAGGAGGGCTTTTGTGACTTTTGTGGCCAACAGAGTGTGGCAGCAGTATTGCCATATGACTTTCAAGGCCAGGTCATAAAAGAGATGAAGCTTCTGCTTTATGCTGGAATATTCACTCCTGAGCCTTTGGTGTCTATATAAGCCAAAGGCCTGTTCTGAGGTTGCCATGCAGGGAGGAAGCTCAAACTAAGCCATGTGGAGAGGCCACAGAGAGAGGCCTGATACTATCCAAGGAGGGAAAGATGCCTGGCCTGCACACCTTATCCTGCCTGTCTCATCCTCACTATAGTCTCACTATGTCCACTTTATAGATCCAGAGCCAGAAGTGCCCAGAGGAGTCCTTCCCAAATTCTTGACTCACAGAAACCTTACGACATAATAAAATGATTTTGTTGTTTTAAGCCACTAAATACTGAGAGCAATTTGTTACACAGCAGTAGATAAGTACAACAGTCAGCAACACAGACTACTAGCACTGTAGTTCTTTACTAGACAGGGCAGTCTCAAACCATCTGCTTCCACCAGTAGTTGAAAGTTTGGCTGAAATAAGCATGCATCCTAACCTGGTCTTAGTTTCTAGATATTATTCCCCCCCAAGGTGCCAGACTCCTTGGAAAAACAACTGGTTCCAGGTTTGGGGTAGGGCCAGTACAAAGTCAACCTGGGATATCTTTTGTACCAAAAAGACAAGGAAGTGCTCAAAGCCTAATGGGATCACATTAAAAGGCTACAAGAGCCAGCTTGAAGGGGTTCTACTGGGAAAAGTTGGGACAGTTTAGCACACCTGGGTGCTCAGTCACTGAGC